TAATAAAACAAAGTTATCATTAAATTATTTTTTGTATTTTTAGTTTTTAAATAGATAAATATAAACCAACTTTAGAATAAATAAAAGTTTTCTAGTCTGATTGTCAATGTCTATGGTGACAATTTATGATGGTAATAAATTGCCTTATCATCATTGACATGGCAATAAATAATAGCATATTAATGGGCACGGGAATTTTTTGTGTTCATTTTGAGTAATTTTATTTAGATTGAAAAGATAAAGTGTAAAAACTTTTCGTATTATAAATTAAGGACTAACACTTTTGTAGTAAGGCAACCGGAGAACTGACCATGGATTTTCACCAAATTATGAATGAGCATGAACAATCATCATAAAGAACTGTCTTATCATTTTAAACAGTAAACAGTACTATTTACTTTTATTTTTTATAACTTATCCTGCTTTTATTTCAACCACTGAATCGAAATCTGATCCTATTTGTCCCTTACCTCTTCGTTAGGAGTGGTAATTTATCTTGATCTGCGAAGATCCCCATCAGAGCGATCCTCGTTACGGAGATGGGATAAGGAAGAATATTCTTTCTTTCGAAATGAGAATAAAGTGCATTTTTTTTGGTGAAATTTTTTGGGGAATTTTCTTTCGTGGAACTCTATGGGGATCCCCATCCATGCGAAAAAAATTAAAAAGAAAATTCATTTTAAATTTAATATAATTTTTAAATCCAAACCCAATTCAATAAAATTTAACTTAATTTTTTTCATTCAACTCAACCCAACCCAATGCTTTTAACCCTAATTCATTTCTTCAGATGAGTCAGATCTCACTTCTCACAACCTGCCTTTGCCTCCTCTCACTCTCGGCCTCTCGGGATACCTAAGTCACCTTCAACCTTCAGATCTCACTTTTCACAACACTGCCTCTGCCTCCTCTCACTCTCAAGACTCTCTTGTGTGACTGTATCTCTCACCTATGTCACCTTCAACCTTCCCGGCTTCCCCTTTGGCCCTCCCCTACCAATTGCAAACGATTGCACCACTGCTGCATTGCTTCTGCGCCACTGTCACGCCCTTGCTGCACTGCTTTAACGCCACTGCTGCGCCCCTGCTGCATTGCTTCTGCGCCCTTACTGCACCGCTTCAGTGCCACTGTTGCGCCCTTGTTGCATCACTTCTGCGCCTCTGCTGTGTCGCTACTGCACCACTTCTACGCCCTTGCTGCGCCACTACTACTCCCCTGCTACAATGATAAGAAGTTTAAATAATTTATGAGTTGATTTAACATAGAGAAAGTCTAGAGTTTCTAGAATTTGCTAGATTTATTGACTGCTCAATATGGGTTTTAAATTATTTCATGAGAAGGATAAAAGAAATTGAGAAAACTTTGAATGCTTTGCTGTTTATTTAATTTTTAGAGTTTACTGTAAATTCTAGTGAAATTATGAAAGGAAAGAATTTCAAAGGTATTCAAGATTGATGTGTCTTCAAGATTGGTTAAAAACAGATCTCAAAGGTATTAAGTTGATATTTCTTCTTTTTCTTTTTATGGTATATTTCTTTTGTTCTTTAAGTAGTTAATTTTCAATTAAAATTTTTGTGTTTAAAATAGGTTCTTTGGATGATATATGTTTCTTTACTCAAAATGAGGATGTGGATTATGATGAAGACAATAATTCAGAGGTAAAATATAGATGACCTTTTTTTATACTAATAATATAAATAATTTTTCTATAAATATGTTAATATAAAATATTTACTAATTGCATTGTAAGTTTTTTTTATGAGCAATTGTGAATTTTGAGAGTTAAGGTGTTTTGAGTTGGCACTTGGTTGCCTCCCTTCATGCTAGATGTTGGTTTAGTTATTTTATTTATGTTAGATTAATTTTTGCTTATATTTGGAACAAGTATGTTGTTTTATGTTAGATTAATCTCTATTTATATATGGAACAACTTATGTTTGGAAGAGTTTATGTTTGATTAATCTTTATTTATGTTTGGAACAAATTTATTGATTTAATTATTTAAGTTAAATTAATCTTTATTTATATTTGATGTAAAAAATATATATTTGGATATTAATTGATGGGGAATGGAGATTCCTGCAAGAATAAAAATGAGAGATAAAATCTATCCCATCAAAAATTTTCACAGGGATTCCTGTCCCCATCAATAACAAAAACGAAAATGGAGAGGGACTCTCTGATCCCGCAGGCGGATTGAAATCCCTACTGCTCATTTCACTCACACAGCTTTCTGGCTGCTCCCGTCCTCCCTCCGTTTTCTCGTCCATTTTTCTTTCCTTTTTTTTTTTTTCAAATGATCTTAAGAAGAACTCGGCACTTATAGCTTACAAAAATTATAGATCTCACCTTGTGAACTCATTCTTGATGGGGCGGCGTAACACTGCCATCACTATCTTCTTCTCCCATCGTTCTCCTCTGTTTCTCTGTGTATTTCGGTCGAACCCAAAACTAAAATTGAAAAACCAACATAGATCGGTCACTGAACCAGTACAACCAAAATTAATCTGGTTTGGTGAAGATTTGTACTTTTTCTCCATAAAAAGTCGGTTAACCGCTATTGTTGGTCTGTTCGATCACCGAATCGGCTGTACCCACCCCTAAAAAATCCTTTCGAAAGATGCATTCAGACTGTTTAATTAATTTTAAACTTGCCAAGACTCCGTAAGGCAGTTGATAGTAACACCAAAAACTTTAGCACTAGTTCGAGTTCGAGTTCGAGCTGTCTTCTTAAAATTCTCTATTTCATGCCTCAAAATTGTAGCGGTTCAAAAAATTAATTTTAAATTTGTCGAATGGCTCCATAATTAATAAATTTTTTTTTTTAATTTGTGATTTAAAAAGTGCAATTAATGTATTTTTTATAATAAATTTA